ATACCTATGCAGCTTCCGGTTCGCTCGCCTGACGAAGGGCGTCGAAGGACGGTTGCGCGAGGGGTTCCCGGGACTGCCGCCTCACCCGGGAGCGGTCGCTATCGGAGCTGACGGGGATCGGCACTTGGTTGATGCCAAACCGCGTGGGCTGGGCTCTAGGGTGCCGGGCGGGGCGGGCCACCATCTGCTGCTGTGGCTGGGGCCGGGGCTCCTCGTCCGTGTCGGTTAGGTGGTAGACCTGGGTCGCCGGGCCGGCTGCTGCCGGCGCTGCTCGCGGATGAACCAGTGGTCCACGGCGCCGCGCTCCTGCATACCGTTGAGCGTCTGCACATCGGTGGTTAGCGGCGCTCTTTACGAAGCCTGCTTGATTTCCCCAAGTAGGCATTGGCACACCTGGAACCCCAGCAGGAACAGTTTGGAACCCTTGAAGCACGAAGCCTCGGCAGACCAGTGACAGGATTGCAACTGCAAGCTGCAAACACCTTGTTCATAAAATCTTCGAAGCCGCAGTGGTCGTACTTGCACAGCTTCATGTATCCAGGAGTCCCGAGAATCTAGAGTCTAGAGCTTCTTAAGTCTTAAGGCTCTTGGCTAGATCGAAGCTTTATGTCAACATATCGTGTAGTCCTCGAAGCCGTTTGATCTGTAAGTAACTTTGTTGGAGTCGTTGTTGGAGCTTCAGCCAAATTCAAGGTTTTGAGGCAAAGCGGCAACAACGTAGGGTGGCATGCTTCTTCAGTTGCCAGGCAGGCTGGAAATCGTGGTATAGTCATGGTGGTGGTGCGAGGCGATTTCGGATTTCGGGCAACATTTCTGAGTTCGTATTGTGAGCTTTGCAGGCTAGCTCCCTTGGCCACGGCAGGAAGAGTTGTGTGCATAGTCCGTTTTGGTTCTGTTAAGGCCTGAGCTTTGCGAATGAGACGAGTCAAGACATGCAGCAATGCTTCCAAACCTTCAACAACACGCACACACACATAGGGCCACACGGGCAGATTCAACTACCAGTGCCACTCGGTCAGTATAATGATGTGATGTCTAAGACACCTTGGGGACAATAACCCTCGCGCTTGGGCCCTAGGCCTAGGCCCTAGTGAGCCGGAGCCCCAGGGCTTACACTACCACAGATCGTGTAGTTTCTTTAGATATGTTTACATGTTTCCACATGGTTCTTTGGAGATGGGGCATGTGGCTGGATGGCCGATGTCGAATTTGAAGATGAGGAGGATTGGGTCACAGAGATCTTGGGCCAGGTTGACCCGGACACAGCTGGCCAGGTCCTGGAGGGAGAAGGCGGTGCCGAAGATCAGCCAGGGGCATCTGCTGACAGCTCAGCTGCAGATGCCAGGGATGATTGGTCAGCAGAGCTTGAAAGAGAGCTCAGGGCTACAGCTTCGGATGATGATGCTGTGGGAAACCCCTCAGGTTCGTTAGGACCGTTACGGCGTGGTCGTGGCAGGCCTCGGGGGAGTGCTTTCCTGCATGCGCACTTGAAGGCAGCAGTCCAGGACCAAGACAACTCAGCAGTTGTCGTGCCTCAGCTTGGAGTGGCAGAGAGGTTGGCAGCGGGTCGGGCTGCTGCAGCACTGCAAAAGCGGAAGGACACTGATGATGCTGCTGCCGCCTTCGGGCCAGAACGGTTGCTCACAAGCCTTGGGCCACTGGTGCAGCGTACAGTGGGTGCAGCTTTGACCCATTCGATCCGCAAGATCCCTCAGCGACCTGCCCGAAACGATGCTGAACAAAAGACTTTTGTTCAGCAAATCCTGGAAGGTGACGTTTTGACTTGCAGTGCCAGCAGTGTTGCTCGGCTTGCTGGGCGATCGAAAAGCGTTGTGCAGTCATTGCTTTTGCAGGCGGGCTCTGCAGTCGTGGAATCAGCAGGGCTACTTTGGTCTGTTATGGCCTCTACGTGCTTGCAGGCAGTGACCACCTCCAGCACCTTGGAGCCCATCATGATTTGTGTAAGCCTCCGTTATGATGAAACTCCTACAAAGGTGCGTGTGGCGTCGGTCAACACAGATGTCATGTCGAATGAGTTGGGGCAAATGGTCTTGGTGCCCAGACCGGCAGCAAGCACCCCAAACCTTTTGTCGCGATTTCTGCAACACTTGAACTTGGCACCGGCTTCACAGAGGACACAGCAGACAGCTACCCATGCAAAAATCTTGCAGACTCAAGTCGACATCGGCATGCTATTCCTTCGAAAGCATGCAGGAGAGAAGCGATTTGCTTGGGTTGTCACACCAGTACCTACAGCGCTCCAAGCAATGCAGAGATCAACAGGCGAAGTTCAATTGGCCTGTGTCTTAGAGTCGTTTAGCTCCCTGGGAGGCCTTGCAGAACTGAGGAGAGTCAGCAATGCATTTCCTTGCAGGGTAAAAATTACGACGACAGACAGATACAGCGCCAATTATAGAACCGAGGAGGGACTGCGGGCCCATCTTGAGGGGTTCGAATTCGTCCACCTCGCCTGTGATTGTCGCCGGTGTTCCAGTGCAATTGGCAACTCGTTGAAGTCTGTGCAATCGGACGTGTCGGGTGCCATCAATACAGCGCTGGCGCTGTCAGACTTGGGATCCGTGAAAGTGCTTCGTGACATACTCACTGCCATCATGTTCGAGGAGCTTGAGATTCACAATGAGGCTCCTCCTCCATGTGAGTACAGAGACCAGGCATTTGCACTTTTCCTTCCGGTTGATGGAGGGGTTCCACTTTCTGTCCAAAAGATCAACCGGGGGCGGCGGTTCATCCTCAAGGCTTTCTTGAATGGCCAGATCGACCGAACCGACCGCCTCGACCACTACTGCCCATGGGGATGCTGCCGCGATGCTGCAGACACTTTGTCGTTGGCAGCACTTTATTGCACATGGGCTCTGGTTCCGTTTGCGTGTCCTGTTCTTTGCAGGAAGTCTTGGCTGAACCAGATGCCGAACCTTCATTTTCTGGGGGTGCTGGAGTCTCATCACGGCCTGCGCGTGCGAATGCTGAGACGCCTCCTCGGAGGTCCCACAAAGGAACCTACCCGGCGTCTTGCACCTGCAGCCAATGACTGGGATCAGGAGCTGCAAGCCGCCCTTGGAGCTGCTGCTGGGGCAGAAGACCAGGAAGGCGCATTGTATCCTACGGTAGTAGCAGCAAGGGATTTGCGAGTGAGACATATGTCATACGTGCAAATGCTTTCTTGCTGCTCGGCCTACACACACCACAGTGTTGCCTTGTGTGTCGCTTTGCTGCTTCTGCTGACGGGCGACAGCCTTGTTGCTGTTTCGGTTTCGGGCTGTCGGAATGGAAGGGTGGGTCCTTGGACATTGGGGCCAGGGCTGTCCAGATACTTCAGGCTTTCGCTCGGTGCTGAAGTATGAAGGCCTTCATGGGCCACTTCTTTTCTGGGTTTCTGGTTCGAAACCATCCTATAGGTCCTAGCCGTCTTAACCAAGGCTACCAGGAACTAGCAATTGCAACCAAGCGTTTTTTGCAAACATCAGAGCGATTAGCAACTGAAACGAAACCTTCCTCAGAAATCCTTCCTGAGCCGTGTTGTAACGGTAACGGTACCGAAGCCTTCCTGATAAGTCCTAGAATCCTAGAACCTAGATGAGTAGGAATTGCAGCAAAACTTTCCTGAGAAGTCCACGACGAGAAGAAACTGTAACGAAACTTTATACGGCTTGTTAAGATGGCTTGTCAAGATCTTTGGATGACCAAGCTAGCTCCGAGGCATAGAAAGACGTTTGGTCGCGCAGCTTCGAATTTCAGAGCGATTTAAAAATAGCCCCAAGGCCTGGCAAGATGTTTGGTCATGAAGCTTCCGATCTAGTTCCAAAACAAGTCAAGAGAAGTGTGAAGCAGCAACTTCCCCAGAAATCTTTCAGATGAGCGGTCATGGTTACAGCCGTAACGGAACCTTCCGGAGAATCCTAGAACCCTATAGGCCCTATAGACTTGCACCGAACCTTCTTGAGATATCGAAGACGAGTAGCAGTTGCAATTGTATTGCTTACTTCCTGACAAATCCAAGACGAGCAGAACTGTGTAGCAGTGTGTAGTAACTGCCAGGAAAGGCAGGGACGTCTGATGGGCACAGGGTTCTTGTTCCTAGAGTCCTAGACCGCAGGAAATAATTCCCGAAACTTGGAAACTCCACATGCCAACAAGTGGCATGTTTGTCCCTCTCAGGCGCTGCAGCAGCTGCGGCAGAGCCGGAAGCTGTGGCTGGAGAGCAGTCTGAGGCATCTGCATGGGCGCTTGAAAATGCGAGAAGGCGGAACTCTGCAAAGGCTTATGCAGAGTCCAAGCCTTACGACCGGCTCGTGGTCTTCTGTCGGGTTTTGGCACCAATGCACCAGCTTATGGCCCGATTTCTTACCCTCTCTGGAAAGAATTGGATGAAGAAGCAGAAAGTGCTTGCAGCCCAGGGCAAGCCCCGGTCCTGGCCAGTCCTCGAGGCTGCACGGCTCACGGATGTCACGGCTTGCTTGAGAAAGTTGCTGGATATCATGCTGGAGCCGCTCCTTGGTGCCAGAGGCATTGTCGCAGGCCACACTCGAGCTCTGAAGTTCCTCATGACCTCTGCTGGCATGTGTGGGCTACGTGTCTATTTGAGATTGCCCCGACAAAATTTCCCATACAGACTCTTCACTTTGTTGGACGATGCATCCGAAGCCACAGTGAAGGGCCTCAAGGAGATTCCTCCGTGCCTGCGTGACGAATTCACGAACAACTTCATCGAAAAGGGCCATCTTGAAACCGAAGTTGGGCTTGCAATCTTAGAGGCGGCTGCAGACATTTTGCTTGTAGACGTTGCCGGGATTGAATCCGGGCACTCCACTGCCCGAGAGTTCGCTTCTCTCCGCTCCAGGGGCTGGGTGCCAACTTTGGAAACCCTGGCCAGTCGCTTTGTTTTGCAGGAACGGCAACGAAGCTTAGGCAAGATTGGGATGTCTCAGTTTTCTTCCTCAAAGCGCAAGTCAGACAGGCCAAAGAGAAAGAATCCTGGAGGGGGAGGAGCGTGGCGAGCCTTCGCCAGCGAGTACCTGCGTGGGCGCAAGCTGACTGCTGCCTTGGCAACTGAAATGAGCCGGATCTATCGAAGGCTTTCTGACGCCGAAATGGAGAGGTACATCACAGCTGGGCGTGGTGGTACTCTGGCCCACAGGCAAGGCTTCCCGTCCTTCGGTCGGCAACCGAGGCAGCGGTCCTCCATGGGCATGGCTGCGCTTGAGCAGCATGAGCGACCCGGTGAAGAAAGACAAGATGGGGCTCTTGTTGCTGCAGACTTGGAGCGAGCCGATTTCGGCTTGGTCCCTTATGCTGGGGACACCTTGGCTGAAAGGTATGCTGATTTCAAGGTGGCACTGAAGGAAGAAATGCGACATCAGCAGCAGCTCGACGAGTCACGACTGTCAAAACAGGAAGTTGAGATCCTGAGAGACTTTGAACACGCTGCAGGGGCAGAGCCGGTGCCAGCAGCAGACGTTTGGTCGAGAGACATGCGTGGGCACCTGCTCTCCGGTTTGCAACCTTCTCCAGCCACTCGGCCCAGAATGGCTTCCTACACCTGGTGTGCTCCTGCAGAGCAGGCTGCAGAGGCCTGTGAGAGAGGGACAGGTTCGATTGGAAGTTGACTGACACGGTTGTCGTTTTCTGCTGCAGTTTATCCAGGTCTAGGTCTTGTCTAACCGTCTAACCTAACCTTTTGTCTTTTGCCCTTAATTTGCAGAACTGGTATAAGATATTGCGGGTTTCTTGGTTTGTTTCTTTCAATCCGACTTTGCTGTGGTCTAATCAAGAGTCTAATCGTGTTCATTGCAGATGAATATAAAGAGGTTAAGTCATGTGATATGCTTCCTAGCTTAAGGCTTAAGGCTTAACCCTAATCAAAGAGAATCTAGGCCCCGGAAAGTGTGTTGGTTTGATTTACTTGATCCAAGGTTTGTGCTGACTATTACTTATTTTTTACTTCAAGTCCCAAATTTCCTAAACTTCCCTAAAGCTCTAAACTCTAACCCCTTCCGAATCTTGGTGGCAGAAGAAGCTGCAAGGCGACCAGCAAATTGTTGTAGCGTGGTTTTGGATTTGCAGGAAATGGGGGTCAGGCAATTGGTTGGGGTGAGGTGGGTGTGGGATGTAGGGCGGGTAGGACCGAAAAGGGTTGACACCCGAGGCACAGGACGCTCATGCAGAGGTTCTTCGGAGTCCACTATAACCCTGCTAAAAGCAGCAGCATGTGGAAAGTGTCATCTTCAGGACCAGCTTCACACAGATGCATATTGTTTCAATCTGGAGTAGCAGGCCGAATATTTAGATTGTTTCAAGGGACTCGACAAATTTCTCCTTGTAACTAAAGCACTCTACTGTACTGTACAGCTTCCCAGCCCCCCAGATCCTGTCGGGCCCATCCGACATCCCTACTGACCCCAGTGCGTCAATGCTGCCAGGCAGTCCTTTGTGACGAAGCTGTTGGCCTTCGCAGACAATACCGTCTCAGCTCCATTCTTCACACAGCTTTGTCCAAGCGATGCCGCATTCACTTCCACAGTGAGCAACCGCGCATTGTGAAAGCAGATGATGTGTTGAGGCCTTCCCAATGCCATGCGTTTGGAGTGTGTGTGTGTGTGTTCGGATCCAGACCCTCTGCATTTCTGTCGGAAACTCCAGCAGTGGATGAAGAAAGTCTTCCACAAGGTGAACAATACTGCATGCGAGGCACGCAAGCTTCTTGAGTCCCAGATGGTCGTGCTGGAGTACCGTACAGTGGAGGCCCAGGAGCCGGCGCCGGGAAGCATGGCAGCTTCGGGGCAGGTGCTGTATGGGCATGTGGGCCACATTAACTTCAGCACGTGGCACCATGTCCTGCTGCGTTTGACAGCTGAGATGGAAGAACTGGGGTTGCCTTCTGATCTTTCTGAGTCGACAGGTGCACTGCAAGTCGGAGCCTTCCCGGCAGAATCTGCAGGTGCTGCCCTCGGCATTTTCAGCGATCTCCAGTTCTACCAGCAGCTGGACCTCAAACGTGCCTGGGAAATCAGACCACACGTGATATCGGTTTTGGACAAACACTGGCATTCGATGGACTCGTCTGCCAGTGCTGTTCCTTTGCTGCCGCTTTCTTGTGATCCCGACGAGAGCATCCCTGAGTCCTGCTCCTGGCTTGGTTCTGAAGCCGAAAAGGCAATCAGGCAAGCTGCCGAGGATGAGGCCAAGAAAAGACAGG